TCCATCCTCCCTGCGCACGCCACCTGTCGAACGTCGACCCCAATTGTCGGCCATCACTCCCTAACACCAACCGTCCTAATCGTGACACGTGGCAAGATACTGGTTACCTCAAATCTCCTTGCGACACGTGTTTTCCTGATGTGCTAAGTCTGAATTTCTTCTCCAAAATCAGAGCAAATTGCCTGATTTCCTCTTCTAATCACATATCTGTTTTCTCCTAATTTATATGTAATTTTATTTTGTTCCCTATTCCTTTGTAATTTGCCATTTTGATTTTTTGTTTCCTCATTTATCAGGCAACATATGAACACTATAAATAGGGGTTAGCCTAAGGTTTGAAAGTTAGTTTTTCATATTGAGTTTTCTGTCATCATGCTGTCACTCTCATATTTTCTCTTTAGAACTTATGAGAATGTATTGCAAGCTAGAGTTCTTTTGGTGAGGTTAGGGATGAGTTTTTGTTAGTGACCCAATTTAGGTTTTGATTCCTTATGCTGTAATGTTTAATATTCGAATGAATTAAATATCATCTATCTTTCATTTATTTTTTAAAATATTGTGTGTCAATTTTTACATGAGTCAAGTCATGCTTTTCTTATGTAATTCTGTCATGCGCTATTTTGTCATTCAAATAATTTTCAAATTGTCTTTTATTGTAATATTGTCGAATTGATATATTGTCGATTTTGGATAACTTGTAACAACAATATTTTCGGAATCAACATAGAGATTTAATTTATTCGATACTTTTATTTTGTGAATCAAAATTTAAATTGGTGAACGAAACATAAGAGATTCTTGTCACCTTACCGTTTTTACTATTGAATTTCCTTCATACAAATCTTTTCTCATTTTATTTTATTTGCATTAAAATTTCTAAAATATTTTCTTTCTTTAATTTAATTTTATCAGTTTATTTTTCTCTAATGTTCTTTTTCTACTAATCCTTCTTCCTGCTTTAGCCACCTCTGTGTGGATATGACCGCCATTCTGTGCTACTATTGGCCACTGTGATCGACACGTTTGGGCGTTAATCAAAACTTACCAAAACCCAATACTATATTGTAACGCCCCTCCCATACCAGCAGCTAATAACTACGCCAACTCGAGAGAAACGTTAACTTACTTTACTATATTACTGCTTAAATAGAGAAATAATCTCTATATCATGTACAATCATCGAACAAATTCTTAAATTTAAAAATTACATAACTTAAGATCTCTTAACTTAAACTCATTATGGAACTTGAACCGCTTTTGCTTAGTCAACTGGAGCTTCTACTGAGAGCTTACCTGCATCACGAGAACTATTTGAGCTAAAGCTCAGTAAGTAAACTGTAAAATAATTTTCACTTTGGAAATACTTTTCTTTAAACTTTTAGGGCTCTTCTGTCTGACATTCATCTTGTGTTATTAGAACATCTTTATCTTCTATCTAGTGGTCCCTGTCTCGGAATCTCTTGTTCCTCAAGGATTTGGTCATTTTACTAACTGAGTCGGTTCGTAATCAACACAAGATTCATTTCATATTTTGAAAACTAAAAGACTTTCTAAATCTCATGAAAACATGTCAAAAATATATAAATTGACAATTTTTATAAATTGAAAACTTTCATGTATTATTGTTCAAGTGATGCAGTAGAAAGTCTACATACAAATTCGCTGGTCGAGAAGAAAATTATTCTCTCAGTTTTCTCTCTCTTTCTCTCTTCCTCTATTTCTCTTTTCTCTCTTTTTCTTTCTCTCTAAGTTTCTCTCTCTAGCTTCCTCCATATGAAGGATGGAATAAATCCATCACCTATTTATAGTATGCCATCTTACATTCTAGCCCTTAGATCAAAGCTTATGTGGATAGATCCTAACCATTGATTCCTTATCTAGTATCTACCTTTGGATTACAAGTGTTTTGGCTAAATCTTGGCCATTGATGAAGTTCTAAGTGTCCATAACTTGACAAGTGTCTTTTAGAAGACAATTTGATCTTTTCTTCTTTCCTGATCTTGACATGTGTCTACTGAGAAGAAAACTTAAACTTTTCTTCTTTCCTAATCTTGACATGTGTCCACTTAGAAGATAATTTAAACTTTTTTTCTTTCCTGATCTTGACACATGTCTACTTAGAAGAAAACTTGAACTTTTCTTCTTTTATGATCTTGACACGTGTCTACTTAGAAGAAAACCTGAACTTTTCTTCTTTCCTGATCTTGACACGTGTCTACCTAGAAGAAAACTTAAACTTTTCTTCTTTCCTGATCTTGACACGTGTCTACTTAGAACTTAGAAGAAAACTTAAACTTTTCTTCTGCATCTATATGTTATCTGATAAGGCGGATATTATAATATTGAATAAGCTTCAATTTCCTTTTCGGATTCCAAATTGGCAGTAACTTTTAAAGAGTTTTTAAGCTTCCAAACGTGTTTAGAATGAGAGAAAAAGTAAAGAGTTAGTCCTCTATGGATTAGGAAGAGGAAAAGTGAAGAAAATTGAGGTTTGGAGCTGTCAAATGTGGTTTTCTAATTAGGGCTATTGAGGGCTATGGGAATGGTTGAGGAAAGAGTGAGAAAGATGAAGGAGAATTAGATTTTAGACCCTCTAATTTAATGTGCTTTGAAATAATCGATACAAAAACTAAAATAAGCTAAAATCCTATTGTGTGTGGTGGGTGGTGTCTTTTTAACATTCACTACAAGAATAATTATTTTAAGAGACCAAACTTTTTGATACTAAAAAATTTTTAGTAGCAGAAAACACACTTTTTGCTAGTAAACTTTGGTAGCTGAATGTATCAAGGCTTTAGTTACCAAATTTAATAGTAAAAACAACACAATCCACTACAAAATATAATTTGGTAACAAAAAAGATAGAGAGGCATGAAATTTGGTTCCCGCAAATAGCTTTTTGCTACCAAAATAATATTTGGTAACAAAAGCATAAGATTCTGCCACCAAAAATTTGGTAGCAAAATATTACTTTTTCGCTATCAAACATGTTTTGGTAACAAAAAGTTGGTGGGAAGCAAAATTTTTACCCGCCCGAGGTATTTGCTACCGAATTATTTTTAGTAGCAAAACATATAACATTTGCTACCAAGTGTTGGAAGTAAAATATAACTATCTGCCACCAAAATTTGGTAGCGAAAAATCAAGTTTTTACTACCAAAAAATATCATTTTTTGCTACCAATTTTTGGTAGCAGAAAACAAGAATTTACTACCAAATTCTTATTTTGGTGACAAAAAGGCATTTTTTTTTGGCTACCAAAAGTTGTGTTTGGTAGCAAATCATATAAAAACATTAATATTTATATTTTGTGCTTGTACTACTTTTTTTTTTTTAAAATTTTCTATGAATATGTCCTATATTAAGTTTTAACAATCATCCTAGTATATTTTGTATAACAATTATTTGATAATTTAGTTATTTTGTGTAGGTATAACAAGAGACATGTTCATGTGTGTATATATGTGATCTTGTTAAATAAATATATGTTCTACATAGAGTAGTATATAATCTTACTATTTAATTGATTTTTACCTTTGAATAGTGTATTTCAATTTCAAAACTATATTTTTGTTATAATGTTACTAGAAAAATGATTCTAAAATAAATTGTCATTAAAATGTTTTTTTTTTTTAATTTTTAACATGTCTTTCTAGTACCAAATTAAAATTTGGTAGCAGAAAATATACTTTTAGCTACCAAAATAATGTTAGTAACAAAAAATATAATTTTCTGGTACCAAATTTTGGTAGCGGAAAACATGATTCTGCTACCAAATTCATATTTTGGTGGCAAAAAGACATTTTTTGCTACTAAAAGTTGTGTTTGGTAGAAAATTATATTAAAACTTTAAAACTTATATTTCTTGCATGTATTGGGTTTTTTTTTTTTTTTTTTTTTCCATGAATATGTCCCATATCAAGTTTTAACAATTATCCTAGTATATTTTGTATAACAATTATTTGATAATTTAGTTATTTTATGTAGGTGTAACTAGAGGCATGATCATGTGTGTATATATATGTGATCTTGTTAATTAAGTATTTGTTGTACATAAAGTAATATATAATCTTGCTATTTGATTGATTTTTAACTTTAAATAATGTATTTCAATTTCAAAATTATATTTTTTGTTATAATGTTACTAGAACAATAATTCTAAAATAATTTTTGGCATTAAAATGGTTTTTTTAACATATGTCTTTCTGGTACCAAATTCAAACTTAGTAGCAAAACGTATGCTTTCGGCTACCAAAATAATGTTTGGTAACAAAAAATATAATTTTCTGGTACCAAATTCAAACTTAGTAGCAAAACGTATGCTTTCGGCTACCAAAATAATGTTTGGTAACAAAAAATATAATTTTCTGGTACCAAATTTTAGTAGCAGAAAACATGATTATGCTACTAAATTCAAATTTTGGAGGCAAAAAGGCGTTTTTTGTTACCAAAAGTTGTGTTTGGTAGCAAATCATATAAAAACTTTGAAACTTATATTTTGTGTATGTATTATTTTTTTTAGTTTTCTATGAATATGTCCTATATTATGTTTTAACAATCATCCTAGTATATTTTGTATAATAATTATTTTATAATTTAATTATTTTGTGTAGATGTAACAAGATACATGTTTATGTGTGTATATATATGATCTTGTTAATTAAGTACATATCCTTACTATTTGATTACTTTTTAACATAGAATAATGTATTTCAATTTCAAAACTATATTTTTTTTATTAAAATGTTACTAAAATAATAAGTCTAAAATATATTTATCATTAAAATATATATTTTTAAAAATTTTAAATATATGTCTTTCTACTATCAAATTAAAATTTAATAACAAAAAATATACTTTTAATTATCAAAATAATATTTAGTAACAAAAAAACATAAATATTTACTATCAAATATAGTAACAAAAGAGGAACAAAATTTTTGTGGGAAAAATATTTTAACCTACCCTCCCTAAAAATTCAAAACACACCCACACGTTTAATTGAAAATCCCTATACTCGGCAGATCCATCCCCAACGCCCTTATTCCCTTTCTTCACCAACTTCTTCAGAAACTCTCCTCTGCCTTCTTCTCCAGCCGCCGCTCCTCCTCCGCCGCCTTCCACTCCTCAAGAATTCTCTCTAGCTCTAGATCTCTCTCTCGCTCCTTCTCTCTCTAGCCGCTTCTCGCAGTTGCCGACTCCGATTCTCACTGTCGCCGCTCCCGATTCTCGTTGCCGCCGCCGATTCTCGTCGTTGCCGAAAAGCGAGAGACATCTCTCCTCACCATCAACACCTCCTCCTTCTTTCGGTCAGTTCTCTCTCTCTCTCATCGTGGAAATTCTCTGTCTGCAAGTATTGGCATTGTTTCTGGCAATGAAATTTCAGCTTTGAACTTCTGTGGTAGCAATGGGTCCACTTTATTTTACATTTAAATCTTAAAATCTATATGTTAACTAGTCAATTTTTGGCCAGATTAGCAAACTAGTCAGTTTTGGCCACAAAAGCTTAAAATCTATATGGGGATCTAAGAAACGTTTTCCAGAACTTTTGATATGGTAGACATGAAACTCTGTATAGCATTTTTGGCTAGGACACCTTTTATTTTTATTTTTATTTTATTCGTTTTAGGCTAATTAGAGCCATGACGCCTTTCTTGTAGTGTAAATTAGAGCCAGGACGACTTAAAGCTAAGAGAAACCTTTTGGAGCCAGGACGCCTACTTGGTTCTAATTGTCGTTTTCTCAGTTTATTTCTGCTTCTGCAAAATGGAAGTCTCGATTTTGATTATAGTTGTAACGTCTATCTAGGTTGCTGCAATTGTTACTCAGCCACCTTCAAGAAGGGATAGGGGGAAAAAGTTGTTGCTTCTCCAATAGCACAATCTGCTCTTGATAGAAACTTCCCTTCCGACTTTATTTTCACACCCGAATGGGCGGGAGAGGTAATTTGATAATCTTTCGATCCTAGTTCTACATGTTTAAATTTCTCTCATTATGTGATTACAAATTGAATTTTAGAGCTTGTTTGGTAGGAGGAAAAGCGGAATGATGGCGAGTGGTAAAGGGCTTAGTGAAAGGATTTTGGTTTGGTAGGAGAGAAAAGAGAAGGATATAGATTGGATGTGGGATTTCAAATCCTTCAAATAACCTGAATTTTAACCTCTCCCACTATGGGAAATTAGGAGTGGACTACGAACATAATAAGAGAAAGATCATTTCCTTCCTCTCTATTTTCCTCACCTTGGTTATATACCTTTCTTTTCTTCTCTCTTATCATACAAAGCATTAGATTTAACCATCAATGAGCTTTTTCCTGGAACACCATTTCTACATTTTGCGATATAATGACTTGTGCTCTCAATAGGAACTATAAATATATGAGCAAATACTTGCTTATTTTCGTAATGGTCCCCCAACTTCAAAAGAACCTTTCACTCTTACATTTCATTTCTTCCAACTAATAGTTAGTATTATTTTTCTTTTTAAATGGTTTAATTCTTGGTAACTTTTTTATATGTATGATGGAACTTGAATTCTACTCCTCTTGTTGCATTTATACGTCCTTTAAAGAAGAACATTAATCCATGTTTTCTTTTTGAGAAGGCAATTGAAAAGCCTTTACAAATTTGATTATTTTCAAATGTTTGAAGGCTTGTTTGTTTTAATTCGAATTTTATTATTCAAACTCCATTGGGCCACATTAGCAAATAAGAGAGCTATCATCTATTCGAAACTTTTTCAACTATAGTACCACCCTCTTATGAGGTTGTTATGCAAAAAAAAAAAAAAAGGGGTGGTTATGAAAAAAAAAAAAAAAAAAAACACAAAAGTCACGTGGGAGGTTGGAAAACTTTAGGAAGAAGTGGGTGCGTGCAGAAAGAGTAAAATATGTTAGTGGGGAGTTGGGTGAAAATAACGTGGTGATAATCCTTCAGAGAGAAAAAGTAACTAATCCTATTTAAATAATTAAAAAAAAGAGAATGGCGGTTGCTTCAAATGCCTATATATAGGCATGTAAGAAACAAAAGAGGGGAGGAATGAAAAAAAAAAAAAAAAAACTTTGTGCAGGCGTGTGTGCAGAAGAGAAGTGAGAGAAGAAACGAAAAAAAAGGACTTTGTGACTTTGTGCAGGCGTGTAAGCAGAAGGGGTGAGAGAAGTGTGAGATAGTGTGTGTAGAGAGAATTATCAAAAAAAAGGTAGAAAAATCTACTTTAATTTCATGATGATGTTGTCTACGCGTTTTTTTTAAGCCCTCTCTTATACCGAAGTACCATCCCAAGACAAGAAGTTCTTCTGCCATTATTGGCCAGATTCATGCTTAAGACATACGGGTTGCAAACTTTTGAACCCAGTCAAGAAAATTGTGAGGTTGCAAGTTTTAGAACCTCTAAAAAAAAAAAAAAAAAAATAGAGTTGCAAATTTTAGAACTCTAGAAAATTATGGGGTTGTAAAATTTAGAACCTCCGAAAATCAAATAGAGTTACAAATTTTAAAACTCTATAAAATTATGGAGTTGCAAAATTTAGAACCTTTAAAAAAAATCAAATAGAGTCGTAAATTTTAAAACTCTATAAAATTATGGGGTTGCAAAATTTAGAACTTCTAAAAAAATCAAATAGAGTTGTAAATTTTAAAACTTTACAAAATTATGGAGTTGCAAAATTTAAAACTTTTGTACAGTTCAAAATATTATTATAATTTTGAGTATGACTTATAAAGTGCAACCCGAAACAGAAAAATTAGTGACCACTTGCGTAAGGGTCTTTTCGTTTCCTGTAAAAAAAAAATCAGTCAAAGAACCGAAACTAAAAAAATAACAGAAAGGCTAAATAAAAAAAATTTACCTTCAGCAATGTGTAGAAGACTATCATTCTTTTTGTTCTTGTTTGGCCGAAAAACAACCAGTTTCTTTGAATTGGGAAATGGCTTTGCAATTAAAATTGTCAAAAGAAATTGATGATTCGACAAAAAAAGGAGGGTAGGCTGATAGCTCTATACGCAAATCAAAATATAATAGCAATTAACGTTCTTCTTCATGCACGTACACACACATATATATATCAAAAAGTTGCAAGATGTTCTTCTTCGTTCACGTACACGCATATATATATATATATATTAAAAGGTTGTCAAATTTGTTTATGGTCGCTGTGATGCTTGTACTCGTTAAAAGCAACAATGATTCATATATATATATATATATATAAAAGAAACGTATAGAACGGATGAGGATGGAAAAATCTAAGTTTCATTTGAAATTAAACTGAACACGAAAAAGAAAGGATAATTGAATCAATTGGTTTAGATGAAATTTTAAATTTTTTTAAAAAAGGATAAGGGATAATTGAATCAATTGAATATATATGAACAACTATTGTTTTTAGCCAGTACGAGCATCACAGCGACCACAAGTAAATTTGGCAACTTTTTGATAAATATATATATATATATATATATTTATCCTTTATCCCTTATCATTTATTTTTTTAAAAATTTGAAATTTCATCTAAACCAATTGATTCAATTATCCATTCTTTTTCGCGTTCAGTTTAATTTCAAAGGAAACTTGGATTTTCCCATCCTCATCCGTTCTACATGTTTCTTATATATATATATATATGTGTGTATATATATGTATATATGAACCATTATTGCTTTTAGCGAGTACAAGCATCACAGCGTCCAGCAAGTCTGGCAACCTTTTGATATATATATATATGCGTGTACATGAACGAAGAACATCTGGTAACTTTTTGATATATATATATATATATATTTGTACATGAATGAAGAAGAACGTTAATTGTCATTATATTTTGATTTGTGTATAGAGCTGTTACCCTGCTCTCCTTCTTTTTCTGTCGAATCATCAATTTCTTTTGACAATTTTAATAAGCCATTTCCCAATTCAAAGAAACTGGTTGCTTTTCGGCCAAACAAGAACAAAAAGAATGATAGTCTTCTACACGTTGCTGAAGGTAAATTTTTTTTATTTAGCCTTTCCGTTATTTTTTTTGTTTCGGTTCTTTGACTGATTTTTTTTTACAGGAAACGAAAAGACCCTTACGTAAGTGGTCACTAATTTTTCTGTTTCGGGTTGCACTTTATAAGTCATACTCAAAATTATAATAATATTTTGAACTGTGCAAAAGTTTTAAATTCTGCAACTCCATAATTTTGTAAAGTTTTAAAATTTACAACTCTATTTGATTTTTTTAGAAGTTCTAAATTTTACAACCCTATAATTTTCTAGAGTTCTAAAATTTGCAACTCTATTTTGTTTTTTTTTGTAGAGGTTCTAAATTTTGCAACTCCATAATTTTATAAAGTTTTAAAATTTGTAACTCTATTGATTTTTTTAGAAGTTCTAAATTTTACAACCCTATAATTTTCTAGAGTTCTAAAATTTGCAACTCTATTTTGTTTTTTTTGTAGAGGTTCTAAATTTTGCAACTCCATAATTTTATAGAATTTTAAAATTTATAACTTTATTTGATTTTTGGAGGTTTTAAATTTTGTAACCTCATAATTTTCTAGAGTTAAAAAATTTGCAACTCTATTTTATTTTGTTTTTTTTAGTGGTTCTAAAACTTGCAACCTCACAATTTTCTTGACTGGGTTCAAAAGTTTGTAACTCGTACGTCTTAAGTATGAATTTGGCCAATAATGGCAGAAGAAGTTCTTGTCTTGAGATGGTACTTCGGTATAAGAGAAAGCTTAAAAAAAACGCGTAGACAAAACATCATCATGAGATTAAAGTGGATTTTTTTACTTTTTTTTTGATAATTCTCTCTACACACACTATCTCACACTTCTCTCACTAGCACGGCTGCACACACTGTATTTTTTTCTTTCTTTCTCTCACTTCCCTTCTGCACACACGTCTGCACAAAGTCACAAAGTCCTCTTTTTTTTTTTTTTTTTTTTTTCGTTTCTCTCACTTCTCTTCTGCACACACGCTTGCACAAAGTTTTTTTTTTTTTTTTCGTTCCTCCCTTATTTTGTTTCTTACATGCCTATATATATGCATTTGAAGCAACCGTCCTTCTCTTTTTTTTAATTATTCAAATAGGATTAGTTGCTTTTTCTCTCTGAAGGATTATTCTCACGTTATTTTTCACCTAACTCCCCACTAACACATTTTACTCTTTCTTCACGTACCTACTTCTTCCAGGAAGTTTTCCAACCTCCCATGTGACCATTGTAGTTTGTTTTTTTTTTTTTTAACAGATGCCCCTTCGAGTATGTACGTGACATTTATGTGCGCGTGTCATACTCAAAAAAAGAAGAAAATAATGATAATAATTTTATATTCATTTCTTCTCCCTTTTGTTTTACATGCTTATTTATGGATATTTTTGACAAACTTCGTTCGGAACGAGCCCCTGAGGAACCTGGCGAAGAATTTACTTCAGGGCCAAGTTACCAACGTTCGATTGGTTTAGATGAAGTTCGAGCTTCGACAAGATTTAGCAGTCCCCTTTATTTGCTTAATTCTCAAGAGGTTCATTCTGTTTATTTAAGATATTTCTTTAATGGTGAAGAAAACGCCATCCAATTGAGTCAACAGAAAGGTGTCGTTTTCAAAACTGAAACCCTCGAGAAAGTTGACAATGGGCATGAAGGCGATCTCAAGAACACGGTTACTCTCGATTTTCACCCTGGTTTGCATCGAATGCTACAAGAAAAAAAGAAACCTCCTTTGCAATTTAATTTTCGTGGTCGGGCTCACTTCCAAACTTTGTTTAATGGAGTGGACTGCAAAGATTATAAGTTGTAACCGCAACGTTTTGAAGAGAGCAGAGATTTATGATGCAGTAGTTGTTGCGCAATATCTTTTTTCTCATAATTGTAATGTTTGGCGAGCATTTGTTGAATTGTGGGGACTAACAAGCAATACTCTCCATCATATTGGTGGTGAAATGAGAATCTCATTGTATGATCTGAAAACCATCGGAGGTTTGCCTATCTTGAGAATCCCGTATGAAGAGTTTATCCTGACAAATAAAAAGTTGTTGAACACTTTCTTATATCATCCTTGCATTGTAGAACTTTTAAGGATCCATTCTCGTATATGCAATATTTTAGAAACTTAATTTGTATCTTGGGATCAATGGACTGAATATTTTTATAGAGTACAAATGTTTGTCGGTTTGAAAACTGAGCAGGCTCAAGATTCCCATTCTAAAGATTTCCATAAGAAGTCTCGAAAAAGCCAATTAAAGCAACTTCCTTTGCAAGTTTTAGAAGTTGGTATGCTCTCTGCATTCCTATCACTGTGGTTAAGTCGTTTCGTCCTTCCCACTAAGGGTGGCAACATAAGGCTTGAAACTTTTTATATGGCCTCTCTGATGGCTCAAGGCACGAGAATGTCACTTGCCTCTACAGTTTTGGAATACATTTATCGCGCATTTAATGAGTACGTCACAGGAACGAACGGATTTGGTGTTAGCTGGGTTTTTCTTCCAATGCATTATGTCATCGGATGGTTAGCTGAACACTTCCCTTATTTATATTTTGGTTGGGAAGAGAACAATAACCTGCCTTTGTTGCATAAATATGCTGGAATTGAGCCTGAGAAAAGAACTATAATTGGAAGTAGGCATATGATACGTGACGAACAACATGTCCGTTACCGCCCATATTCATATAATGAAGAGAGAGATACGGATTACTTAGATGATGAAGACTTAACCGACGAAAAATTTAAACTTTTATTGTCTATGCGTGCAGCTTTACTCCTTGTGAGGGTAGGTGGTGTTATATTTGTGGAACCATACTATCCAAATAGATTCGCTCGCTAGTTTGGTTTTGACCAAGGCGTTCCTTCAGATAAGTTTCGTTTTACGGTTGATGCGAAAAAAACTTGCTTGTTAGATGGATTTGCTGATGCTTGGTATTTATTTTTAAAAAGACGTATTGGGACTTATTTTCTTATACCGAGGGCCACCCGCATAGGGCAGTGCACATGGTTGTATTGCCGTTGGTGGATGCGTAGCACTACTCCTTACTTGGGGCGTTCAGTGAAAAATCTCCGTTCATTATTTGAGAAAAGGCCATACAGGAAAGAAGATGTATACGTGATAATTGACATGCGACGACTTCATGCCAATGTAGATGACATTTTCATTCGATCCCATTCTTTGGCGGATATTGTTAATACTCACGAAATATCTCGATCAAATGATGGTGATGAGTGAGATACGAATCCTAAAAGAATAAGACGTACATAGATTACTGAGCTTGATTATGCAATTGTTGAAACGGTCTCTTTCCCATCAAAGCCTCCAGAACCTGGACATATGGATGTAGGAACTGCTTCTTCTTCACTCCAAAATACCAAAACTGGTGTTTTTAGTTTTGATCATATGCAAGTTGACGCTAACATAATTACTTCATCTTTTGGGCCGGGAAATATGCCAACAAGATTTGAAGATCTTCCAGAAATCATCGGGACCCCATCATCTCTTGATAACCACGTAATTGACGCAATTAGGACTCTTGATGACGAGGAGCCTGAAGATTTTGAAAGTTTCAGGGAGCAGGCTATTGTTGAAGTCCCATATGAACCTCCTCCATTGGCGGTTGTTGTGCCTTCCTCATCAAAAGTCACTTATTAAATTTCTACCATCACAAATCAAATTTCAGATAAACCTACTCGGGATTACTTGATCAGTATGTTGAAGTCAATCTCTGATTGGGTTTTACTTTCAACATCGCTAGAGAGTACTCTAAATTATCGCTCTCAGGTGTCTGAGTATCTCACAACAATAGATTTCCTCATTGATATGAAGGGGGATATCCTAAGGTGAGTTCGTATGGTTTAGAGACACCGTGAACCGTTTGTTCGATTCAGAGAAACATTTAGTCACTTTTTCTCCATTTATTGAAGAGAAAGTTTCCATGAACGAAAGGTTAATTCTAGATTTGATTCATCGCGAAAAGGAGCATCTTACTGCTATGAATATTTTGTCTAGCGATCTTCCAAGTGCTCAATCAGTTGTAGAGAATATTGAGGCTTTTGAGGCAGAGGTAAAAGGAGCTGAGCAGAAGGCGCAACAATTGTGTCGTTCATATGAAGATCGATTAAAATCCGCAAAAGATGCAGTTTCCCAGCTGAAGAATTCTTTAGATGAACAAATAAAGATCGGTGATGAGATCAAGCAACTGCAGGTTGAAGCTAAGGTTGCAAGGTTTATTGAAATTCAAGAAGCTACAGCTGAAGCCAGCTCTCAGGAGCAGGAATCTCAGAAGATACGTGACTCTTTGGCAGCATTCTTCAAGAAAGACTGATGATGATTTCATCCCTCATTTTCTTCATCTAGACATCCTCTGTCTCTTCTTTTTATTTATTTATTATTTTTTGTCAATAGGACTTGGCTTTTCCTATTTTTTGGATTTATTATGCTTATTTTGCAATAGCATGTATTTGGACATTTTGTTCAATTTGAGTAATTGAATAAGAGAGGGTAATTTGTTTGTTTTGATTTTGTGGCTGCATCCAATTTATACTAGATTGCCTACGTATCATTTTCACAGGAATAAAGCCTTCCGTAGTTATATGGAGAACACATGTTTGTCTTATTTTGGAGCTGCATCCAGTTTATTACCGGATTGCCTACGTACCCCTTTGGGGGATCAAGCCATTCGTAGTTCACTGCTTTATTTATTTGCTTCCGCTATTATCTTTCTTGTGTGGGTTATGTGCTAGGAGGGGTACCTCCCTATTTAGGCATATAATTTTTAGATAAACTTTCCATTTACACAGGAGTAAATACAGTGACCTTCTGAATCGGAAAGCTCATATGCCCCTTTTGGAAAAACCTTAGTAACGACGTATGGTCCTTCCCACTTTGCTTCAAATTTACCTTGCATCCTCCTTGTTATAACAATTGGCCTTCTGACTGTAAGGACCAACTCTCCGATTGTGAAGGATCTAAATTTGACCTTTTTGTTAAAGGCCCCTGCCACTTGAGCTTGGTAAATTTTGAGCTTTTGTTGTACTGCGAGCCTTTTCTCGTCTAATGCTTCGAGCTCAGCTAGTCTCACTTGGACATTTTCGTCCGGTGCCATCAGTTGAGTAGCAATTCTGAGAGATGGTAATTGCACTTTCAATGAGAGTACGGCCTCAGAGCCAAAAATCAAACTGTATGGTGTGCAACCCGTTGCAGTTCGCACTGTGGTTCTATAAGCCCATAAGGCTTCTAAGAGGCGTTCATGCCAATCTTTTCTGTTCTTTGACACTATTTTCTTTAGGATTTTACAAAGCACTTTGTTAAAGGCTTCTACTTAGCCATTTGAAGACGGATTATAACTTGCTGAGTATCCAAGTCGGAATTTGTATTTTTCCATCAATTCCTATGCTAATTAAATCCTAGGATAGGTAAAATTATGTTGTGTGTGAAATATTATTTCAACATTAATAAATATTTTTACCCAACAGAGGTCTAGATGTATGTTTGTCCATTATTCATGCTTTCCTGGTTTCTTTACTGAGCATCTATTGTACCCATGAGGCAACTGATATGTTTGCAGTTGGAAGTAACATTTTAGCATCTACTGTAATACCTCCTTTTGATTAGAATGATTGAAGGAGTGTTTTTAGAATTTTGATATGATACCATTAAGGATTTTCAATTCTAGATTATGGTGGTTTCCTTTTTCCGTTTTACTTTTGTGCAGGAGATTTTCTTGTCCAACTTAAGAGAATTGAAGCCAGAACTTTGTATTACAGCAGCATATGGGAATATTTTACCTAGGAAATTTCTCAATATACCTCCATGAGATGAGATGTCAAATTGATATGATAGTTGCACTTTGATTTGAAGATCCTTTCTTTGCTTCCTCTTGGGACCCGAAAAGAGAAGATCTTCCGCCACCGCCACCACTGGCCTCAGTTTGTTAGAGCGTTTAATTTTTGTAATATTAAGATTTTACTAGTATAATATTTGTATAAGTGTTTGAGTTTGCTTAAGTATGACTATTTTAGTATTTTGTTTGGATTCTAATATGTATTGAAATATTTAGAGATTTTTAAATTAATATTTAGTATTTTATTTATATATATGTATTTTTAAAAAAATATAGGTATATAAATCTGTCTCAGTTTTAGTGACCAAAAAGATTTGATAGCAACAAATTCCTTATTTGCTACTAAATATTTGGTACCTGATTCTTGTTTTTTTCGTTACTAAATACATTTTGCTACTAAAAATTTGGTTTTTAAATCTCATATGTTTTGTTATTAAATACCTTTTGCTATCGAATATTTGGTCACTAAATCTCATATATTTCGCTACCAAATACAATTTGATACCAAATATTTGGTCCTTAAATCTCCTGACTTTCGCTACCAAGTACCTTTTATTACCAAATATTTAGTGACTGAATCGCTTACTTTCTGCTACCAAAATTTTTTGGTAACAAAAACATTTTGTTACCAAAAATAGGGTTTTTGGTTACCAAATTTTTGGTAACAAAAGATTCAAATTCTTGTAGTGACCCTAATTAAAAAATTTTATAAACCCACTAAGTTTATTATTTTTGACACATTTTTAAAAACGATATTTGGCCCTAGTTTCTGTGAAACTTACAAATTTTAGTCCCGAAAAGGAAGATTGTGAATCTTCCCTCATGGACTAATTTTTCATCCTGACCAGATTTTGATGTTAAAAGTTCCATCCGGAATCTATTTCTACGAGTTTTCTCCCATTATTGAATTTATAGAATTTTATTCATGAACGTGTATTTTCATAGGGATTAAGCATAAGTAAGAAAAATTTAAATCTCTGTAATGATTATAATGTCATGATTATAATGTCACAAAATATGAAACACTAGAAGAATTTCCATAAGCATGTCTGGAAATTAACGAATAAATTTAGAGGGTCTTGCAATCTCCTACATATTATAAAAGTTTGGACAAGTTTTAATTTTTCCCCCTTGCCCTATAGGCCTTGTCACAATGCTCCCCATAACTATACGCCGTGGACGAATGTCACGTTTTCTCGTCACGTTTGCTTCCTAAACTATAGGTCTTATCACAAAATCTCTCTCAGAAGGTTACAATGCAATATGGGTCATTGTGGATAGATTGACCAAGTCATCACATTTTTTGCCGATTAAAAGACGTATTCAGTTGGCAAACTAGTCGATCTTTATACGCAAGAGATTATGTGTCTGCATAGAGTCCTAGTCTCTATAGTATCAGATAGAGATAGATGGTTTTACTTTTGCCCTTATGTTAAGAGTTTGCATTGTGCCTAAACAAAGTAGAAATTTCCTTCCATCCCCAAACTAATAGGCGAATAGAACGAACAATTAATCCAAACTCTGGAAAATATATTGCGCGTTTGCGTCCAAGATTTCCAAGAAAAGTGGACTATGCACCTGCCACTGGCAAAGTCTCAGCAGCTTTCACATTTGTATAAGAATGGCTTTGTATGAAGAACTCTACATATGAAAGTGTAAATGGTCCATTCATTGGCAAAACGCGGACGCAAGAAAGTTTGATCTTTACAAGGTAGACGTAGTTGCCTTAGCGATTGTGAGTATTTACAAAAGACTCAAAGTAGCTTAGAACAGGTATGAAAAGTCCACAAATAGGAGGCGCAGGCTTCTAGAATTCCACGAGAGCGATCATGTGTTTCTGACAGTGGCTCCTTCAAGGGAGTCATGCGGTTTGGAGAGAGGAGAAAGTTCATACTAAGGTAGATTGGACCTCTAGAGATACTTAAGTGCTGAATTATCTCCTTCCCCTAAAACCGGATCAGAAAGTTAGAGAGAAATCCCACGCGAACCGTGATCCAAGTAAGAAGATATCGCCTCTCTCCGGTTCAATGAACCTAGACGTTGACGATGCATCGTCTCACACCAATTATCTTTGCCATGCCGTGAACTTGTCCAGTTTTCCTTACGATCAGGCCTTCTTAAACCTCCCCGGCCAACCTTCGGAGCTCGCAGCCAACTTCCATAGGGAAGAATAGACAGATCCGACATCATCGCAACTACCTCCACCAAGCAATCTCGCAGCACATGGCCAAGTTACCCACATCCATAACAGAAGTTCGGCAATTTCTCATATTTTAGATCAGTCTAAACCAGTACTTTAGACTTACCAAGCCGAACCTTGACTCTTGTTGTCATAGGCTTTGTTATCCAAGACCACCTAAACCCTAATAAATTGACCAGCACACTCACCATTCTCATCCGTTTGAACATCTATTGTTTGGCCGACAATATCACCAATCGTTTCCCCCACCTCAGCAATACATCCATCAAGTGGGAGATTGTGTAGTGGGATCTAGAACTTTGTATAATAGAAATCCTCACTCTCTACCATATCTTCGTCTTCAACCCACTTAAGCGCCACAAGAGTCCTATCAAAGCTCCAAGGCCCTACATCCAAAACCTTCTTCCTGTCCCTCTCATCAGCGAAAGAGAAAAGGAACATGTCCTTCGCTACCTCTCTTGACACCACACCCTTCACCCTCGAAACATTAATCATGGTGGATTGAAAGAAAAGTTTATTATACGGCTTAACCGATAATAATTTTCCCCACAAACCACATCGCAGCACTCTCCTTCGATCCTTAATCTCAACCCCATCTATTCCCGCAATCTCATCATCCTCCTCAGTGATTGAAAAATTCTTCCAACAGTCAGTGATTTTGTCCATGATAACAACACCAAAAGAAAACAAAATAAACTGAAGGCAAAAACCCCTGCTCTCACACACTAAATGATGTCGCCTCTCATTTTCGCAGACCTAGTAAGAAACCATAGCAAAAAGAGAGATTTTTTCCAAGCTTATCATTTGATTCTTTTAAGGTCAAATGAATTAATTTTATTTATGCAGATTTACACTTTTTTAATTTGTTTAGAAATATGTAACAATAACAAAAAATTATTAATAAAAAGAAAAAAAAA